TCCTACAACTGACCATTTAATTCAACCTACGACATATCTTGGGCTACAACTGCTTTAACATGTTAGGACAATACCACTGCCCTAAGGAATCGTTTCAGTGACACGAGCAATCATCACAGCGTCAGGCAGGCTCAAAAGCAAAAACATCTCAAGTGAAACCTTTTCATCCCTCAGGAACGTCCAAGGTCTGTGGCTCTTGTGAAGTCTTTGGGAGCCTGAGACCCATAGAAAGGATTGTGAGCTTTAGCTTTCTCCAGTGACTCTCAGTCATTGCTCAGAAGTGCCTTGCTAGCTTTTCAGGGATTCCACCATGGAGCTGCCACTGAGATTTATTGTTGTTGTCATTACTAATCATCTTGATGCTAATTATCAGGAACGTGTGATAGTGGTATAAGCATGGCAGTGGCAGAGGTAATTAAACATTCTTTTGTTCTGAAGTTGGAAGCAGGCTGCAGGCTTCCTGTCTGCCAAAGTCCCTCTGTTAATTTTATGCTGAGTGCATCAGCTTTGCAGAGCCATGTAACGAGGAGAAGTTTTCTGCACGCTCTGACTCCTGCCTCCTCTGTTCAGCATCTCTGGAGGGTCGCCTTTCAGCCTTCACATTTCCAGCTAGGCCTCAGAAGAGAAACTGGCTCTGGAAAGTAGGTGCTCAGAAAAGGTCTGTAAAAAAAAATTACAGATTCGTTTGAATAGCCTCTCTTGCCTTTTTTTTTTTTTCTTTTTCTTTTTTCCTCCAAACCTCTTTAAAAGTATGCTTGACTCCTAAAAGAGATATTATAATTGGCTTCACTGGCCAGAGAATACTTGCACAACAGAGCACACTTTGGTATAAGTACTTTGATGAGAGCAAGACAGAGCTGTGTCCTATTAGTTGCCCACTCATTTTTCAAACTATAATGGTCCTTTTCTGTTTGTGAGCACATGTGTACACAGGCAATTAGAGCAAAATCAATCTGGGAAAGAGAAGTACAAAATATTTTTTAACCAGTAAGAAACAATATTTTCCCAGTTGTTTCCCAATGGTTTTGTTAGTAGCTGACATAAATATTCCACCTCTCGCTGGGGATGAAGCAGAGTCATGTAGTGATGCAGGATGTCTGTGCTAACCCTGCTTTGTGTGCTGCAGCAGTTGAAGGAGATAAGAAAATACAGTAGAGCAAGGATAATCTTTCAGCTAGGACAGGTGAAAGCTGATTTGGGCAACTAGATTCCTTCCTTACTTCTACTACCAAGTTCTTGGACAGTGTTGCTCGATTCATTTAGCCCCAGCTTTTCATACATGTTTACTAGTTTCCCAATTTCTCTTTAGCTACTTGAACTGCTGGGACATGACAGGATGAAATGTTGAGTTCTTCCCAGTGCCTCATACATGAGTACGGGCTGCACTTTGAATAAATGAAATGAAATTGGAGGCAGGCCCAAGCTATCCAAGATTGGGTTCCCAATTTTTTATTTTAGTCGTTCTGGGGGTTAGTTTCCCGTTTTCAAAATGGGGCTAGGGACAGTATCTCAGTTTCACCTTGAAAACAATATGGAAAATGTCCATGAATGTCTGAGATACTGCAGTGATGAACACTGGAAAAGCCCACGAAAATGTGCATGATTCTATCATGAAAGCAAGGCTCAAAAAAGGTGAGGTGAGTGAGGCATGTAACTTGCTCACTAAGTCAGAATTGTCCCTTCTGTGTTTCAGGGAGGTAGAGGTCTCAGTGGAAGAATACTCTCTGTTCAGATAACTAAAATAATGCATGTGCTCAAGAAAGATGATAAATGTTTGTACAAGCAGCCTTAAATGCTGGAATTTCCTGACTTCCGAGAGGATTTGTGTATTTAGCAATGTGTTCTTAATGTACCACGTCCAAAAATACTGTGAGGTTCGCCTGAGTAAAAATAATAATTAAAAACAGTAAGCTCAGTTTGTGACAAAGCTTGTGAGGTCGCTCTAATGAGAGAGGACTGAAAAAGAGTAGAGAATAAAAGGGCTGGGAAGCCGCAAGCAATCAGCTCCTGGCATTCCTTTAGCTCTGTCTGCACCAGACTTCAACCACTGAGACATAATTATGCTGCCAGAACTGTGCTATTACTGGTGTTTATTTGGCTTCTAGGGGATAGTTGGGCTATGCAACATCAGTAATTCCTAATCTAGCTTTGGCCAGTTTGTATACCTGTACGTTAATCCTGCTAAGATTCACATGTGTGCTAATTTACATGATTTTGGCTACTTGCAGGTGTAAAATGATGATGGCACAAGTCTAAGTAGTACCAATTGACATTTCTCAAGTAGCAATAGTATAACTACTACTAACAGCAGTGTTGTATACTGGTATTTCATAGTAATTTGTGACATGTTTTGTGTTTCTTCAATTTCTAACTAATATTTTAGTATTTAATGTTCTTACTCTTTTGGGGCAAGAAGTTCAGGTCTCAGACCTTTCCATATTAAGGTTAAGATGACGTTGAATACTAAATATAGAATTATTATATGTGGTCAGAAGGGATAATGAGTTTTTTGACAGGGAAGTAGCCTTTTCTCTACCTTTCTTAAGGTCCTGGAAAAAAACAAGCTTCATTAACTAGTATGGCAGTTTCACCAATAAAAGCCTCTTGCATAAGTTTGTACTGAGATTTCCATATAGTTTTTTAATAGCTTTACTTGAAACGTATTAATGTTGTCTGAGTACTGTCCGTGGCCACTGAGTTAGCATACGCGGACCATAGTAAAACATGCAATGTCACCTATTTCTTGTAAGGTCTGTGCCTCAGAAGAAGGACAGTCCCTTCAAACTGTAATCAATGATCTTTTGTGTGAGCTGGTGTGATACGACCTCTGTATGTCTTTCTAGGAATCTGACTTGACATTTCGGTTGGCTAGCGGCCTCGTTATTTGGCAGCCTATGTGGGAACACAGGCAGCCTGAAGTTTCTGCCTTCAACGCCCTGGTTAAACCAATCAGGAACATCATTACAGGTCTGTGACTGCTGTGGTATTAATGCAGCTCTTGAGAACTGGGTTCTCTCTCCCTTGATTGGCTGATATTGCTGTATGTTCTGTAGCCATTGTATGTGAGGACTATGCTAATATTGCAGGAACTAGTTAAACCTTCAGACAGCAGTTTAAGACTGTTTCCCCTCAGAGTCAATCAACATTTGCATAATATTTAAATAGGAGATGAGAGAGAAATCCTTTGTTCTTTAGTAGAGTTGTTATTTCCTGTTGGCCTTGTGTCTCTGTTCACCATCTGTTCCTTAGTTGCTAAGAAAGGTAGAAGCCGTATCTAGCACCAGTCTAACGCCGGTGGGGAAGGCTTACCTAAACTGGCAATGGACCTATTAACAGTAAAGATAGTAAACAGTCAACAATATAGGTTCTTTTCCTACCTAAATCTGCGTTTCACCATGTTGTGAAATTAAACAAAGTAGTTTCAGAAGGCTCTGAGGCTGCTGACTTAGGTTGTGAATTTGCTTTTGCATACTGGAAGGGGTTGCTCTTCATTGTACCTCAGCCATAGCAAGATTGGAGTTGGGTCCTTAGGCTTCCCAAGCCTTTGTGTCCTGTCTAGTTCTCCCATAAAATCTTTTGTGCTGTCACATTATTAGAAAATAATTTTACATAATTCCTACAAGTTAGTGAATTGTAAGTGTACTGGGTATATCACTGTGGCGTTGCTCATTCTCGGAAGCACTGATCAGTAATTCTCACTAGTTAGCTAAATCAGATTTTTCAAATGTGACAAGTTATTTTGGATGCCTTCATTTATTCTGAAGGATTTGCATGTCTTTGGGACAGTCCAGAATTAGAAAGACTCAAGTCTTTCAACTGATCTGAAATCATCATCTTTAACGTCTAGGTCTACCTTCCTCTACCTTCACCCTGGGCTTCACCTTCTGGAAATACAAAATAGAACTTCAGCGCTGGAACTAACAAAAGCAATTAGTCCTAAGTTTTCTTGAACCATTAGAATTTTTTCCATAGATCTGGGATGTGATCAGAAAATCTTTAAAGTATAACTTCAGGAGTAAAGTCCGAAATTGAAAATACTCTGTTATGTTTTTAAAAACATTTTCAGCAGAACTGAAACAGAACTTGGAATGATGTTCTTTATGCCATAAGGGATCCTGATATCTTAGCATTGTTGTCTCAGTCTCGGACAAAAAAGGTTAACTTAAATTTTCCTTAAAACCAGAAATGCAAAAAAATTATGCTTCAGAAGCTTTACAATGTTTTATTTGGAGAGAGTTTGATGATAAGTTGCATCTGAATACCTTTCTATGTGACAGGCTTTCAGGAACTAATCTCTGCAATGCCCTTGTTTTCTATAGTATAGCTGATCAGAATTTCTGTATGACATTCATGTACTTCCCATTAATCTGGAATTGTTCAAATTGGAAATCACAATACATTCTGTGAGATGTAGGCTAGAAAAGCAGATGAATGTATATGAAAATAGGAGGAGGAAGATCCCCAAAAGACAAGGCACTGTTATACACTAGGAAGACATGACTTAATGTCAAATGGACTTAGCATAAAATTTAAATTCAAATTTTATTTTTAAAGGAACAAAGACTTTCTGTAAACGATGTTGTTGATAACACAAGGAAAAGAATTGTGGAAAAAATTGAAAAATCCTTTTTTTTTTTTTTTAATGGTTGCAGCTAATGCTTAAGAAGTCTACAACACAGAGATGCGGTTTTGCTTTGCTTTGTTTTTCTTAGTGGGCAAATAGTTTATCCTTTCAGTTGGTATAGTTTAAATATTAGAGGTGTTTCCTGAAATAGCCTCCTCCTTGTTTTCTTTTCTCAGCTAAGAGAAGTTCTCCTACCAACAATCAGAGTGTGACTTGTGAATCCCCGAATCTGGACATTGGACATATGGAGGTAAATTCAATGCTAAGGTTAAATGAGCTAACATAGAAAGCTATGGGGCAGGGCAGGGGAATACAAAAATAAAATTGATGGAGGAAAGGAGGCAGGAGTCTTTCTCGTGCAAATGTTGAAACAGCCTTTGCGGTTATTGCCCTAAATTATTCCATGTTCAGAAATTACAGTTGCTTCTATGGCCCACCTTCCTACTTGCTGTTTCTCACAGTTCTCCAGAAGGCTCCCAACACTATCTGCAGAGGAACCAAGGGGTACTGAGTGTAGTTGTCATGATCTCCTTGGGCATATCCTAACTTAAGGGATCGATGTCTTGTCTTACTTATTTTCTTGGGTAAGAGCCATGTCTTACCCTGTGCCTGTACAGTGCCTAGCGCTTTGAAGTCCCAGACTTGATCAGATTCTCATGGTGTTATAGTGTAAGTAATAGTCATGTCTAGACACAAACTGTGGTAAGAAAACTAATATGGAAGCGACTATGATGTTTATATACCAATTTCCTTTTATTAAAACTATCCAAAGGGACTGCAAGTGGTCTGCGAGACAAGCCAGCCAGATTCTGTACCTCCAAAGGCTACTGTTTCAGCATGTCATCGTGGAAATTCCTTGGATGGAAGTGTATCCTCCCAAACCTCTCAGGAGAGAGGTGCCCCACATCCCAGGTACAAACCCCTTCAGCAGAAAGTTAGGCTTGTGTAACCCAATAGTGGAGGTCGCAGAAGTCCAAATCTTCAATCTCCTGTTGTCTCTGCACCTCAAAGGTGGTGGATCCGTAGCTCAAGCTCTTAATTTAACAAATGTCCGTTCTAACACCTGGCTGATGAACAAGATGGTGACATCTGATATTCAATGCCACTTTCATTGGAGGAATCTCCAGCTGGACTGTTGTGACAGTTTCTTTGGTCTTTTTAATATGTTGTTTTCTCATAGTTAAGCAGACTAAAAACCTGCAGGGTCAGCCGTCCCTAGCTGGATTCAGCTTCGGGTGGCTAGTATCTTTTCTGGCTTGCTTCTTCTTTCCCTTTAGCAAAGGATTTTTGTAAGCTGCTCTCCATTGCTGCCTTAATGCCTTCTCAGTATCCTGCTATTTAGTCAGCTTTCTGTACACTCATAACTAAAATAAACAGACTAACAAAAAAGCCTAGCTGCACAAATATCTTCCCAGTTTGCCTTACAGAGCTCAGGACAAGATTTTCCAGCATGACACTGATAAATTAACTTCTTTAATCTAGATTTGGGCAGGTAAAGATAGAGCCAGATCTTCAGTAGTGCTGTGGACACTCACTAGTGTCATGAAGTAAATAAAGCTGATGGCTGCTTAACGCTTTCAGGGGGTGGAAAGAGAGGAATGCCTGGCTATATTTTTAGGTCTCTATGGATTTAGGAGTCTCCCTTAAACTCCTCTTGAAAATTTTGGTTCTGGTGCTTATCTCCTTCGGGAAATGTCATATCCAAAACACTTCAACGTTTTAAGAAGTTGCTTCATTACAGAAACAGAAGAAATGTGGGATGGAGTGGGATTCTGACTATAATCTAGCAACGGCTCTAACTGATTACTCAGAAGAGGTTTGATGAACCATTTCACTGGTGGAAAGGGCAAAGCTATTCTCTATGCTCTGAGCCTGTTAGGAGGCTTCCCTTGGGATTTTGCATCAGGCTTGCTGCCAGTTCCGGGTCTCTGTTAGTTTGTATTAAGGCGAGCCAGTGAAACTGAAGTTGGGCTGCTGGTTCACAGAATTGCCTTTCTGTGTGTAAACACTACCGCTCAGAGTGCGCACAGGCATAAAAGAAAAATAAGCAGCCTTTTAAGAAGACAGAATCAGGTGATCAGTTTGTCAGGCTCGATCTGGTGGTTGCTATGGAGATGAAGCTTCAGACAGGCGTTGAGGAGTGCGTCATTATGTCTCCTCATTTGCAGGACTCGTTGATCAGTTAAAACTGTACAGGGAGCTTTGGTTGCCAAGCAACAGGCAACCGGGGAACAAATGTTTACTCCAGGTACCAACAGCCGCAGTGTTCCTTTGTCCTTGGGCCCGGGGCTGAAGGAAGGCTGCCGTCCGCTCTCTCCGCCGTCACAGGCAACCAAGAGCTGCCTGAACGAACACTAGCTTTCATTCTAAATGAAGCGCAGATTTTAATTGGTAGTATCTCTGACGTTTCTTAAGCAAACGGCTCATTCCTCTGATCCTGGGGTCCCTGCTCCTCTCAGTGAAATTCTCCCTTTACAGATGGTGCAGTGTAACGTTGTGGAGCAATTAAATCCACAGCCCTTTATTCAGCTGCTGCCTGGAACGCTCTGCTTTGGAAATAGACTTCAGTGACAAATATTTCCTAAGGAGAACATGCCTTGCTGTGGGCTGTGTTGTGCCTCGAGTATGCTTATGCCCCCTACAGGGGAGCATGAAATACTGTTTGTACACAGACACTGATCTGGCCCGTGCAGTGTGATCAGGGAGCTATGCGTCATCCTTTACATTTGCTTTTGAGGTAATGAGCTTTATTTCCATTGTTGGGATACCTCTGAGTATCCCAGCTATGCTTATGTTTTTGTACAGGCCGCTTTTGTTTGACACAGTGTTGACTGTGATGAAAACAGCTTTGCCATCAGTCTTATGGGAGAAAAATTGATGGCGTATTTCTGTTTATCATTATTTTCTCCTTCCTGATTCAGATGTTAGGGCTTTTTTTAACAGCTCATCTTAAAGTCATCAAACTTGTAACGTTTTTACCTTGAATACAGCACTAGGGGAAAAGCATCCAAGCTATAGATTGAATGTAGCGACATATGCTGACACAGACGGGCTGGTCTGCAGTCTCCAAGTGCCTTCAACATTGGCCTGTGGGGCTGGCAGCAAACGAGCTCCTGCAGTTTTGAGTTCTAAATGCACATATTCTTCCAAGACCAGCCTTCCCACCGGCCCCTGTTTGCAAGTGTGTAACACGGAGAGACTCATGTGGTCCCAAGTGGTGTCAACATTCACTGCACACTTCTTTCTCCTTTGCCAGTCCTGTACCTGCATTGGATGTGCAGGGTAGCTTTGTAGCACTGGGCAGCAATCCAGCAAAGCACTTAAGCATGCACTTAACTTTAAGCATTTAGAGGAGTTCCACTGAGGTCAGTATTGCTGCTTGTTGTCTAATAGTCTGCTGGATTATGGCCTTGGACTCCTCTGTTCTGAATGTGGTACCCAGCTGTAGATGGGGGTGCCCTGCCAATGTCATTTGCATGTTTTTCAGCAGAGCTAGTAAAAAATAAATCTTTTTTTTAAAAAAGAAATATTTGGTGTTCTTATGATGTCTCCCAAATGCCTGAGATTACAATTCATGGAATTGCTATTGATTTTGATAGAGTCTTAAAAATTGCAGAAGTACCCGGTTCACAGGAGCATATTTCTAAGATACTGACTGGAGATATTTAGTTTAAAAAAAAAAAAAAAAAGACAGGTCTTCAGTGTTCCTTGTCCCCCAGCATTTCACACCACCTTTTGTCATGCCATTCTCGTTCCTCTGGGTCCCTTTCACTCCTCCTCTTCTGACAGATCGTCTCCTAATAGCTAGGTACAAAGGGCCAGTTGTATTCTGTTAGGAGAGAAATGGGGAAGATGCCCTCCAAAGATTTAGGACAGGGATAGTTAATTCCTTTCAGAGCTTCTGTTTTCAGAGATTCAGAGATTTTGTGGTCTACAAAATCAAATACGAATATTGTATCAGTTAAAGTCAAGTCATCTTTTTAAGCTTATCTTTGCAGTCCTGTAAGTATACAATCAATGCAGCATATAAATGACACCAGGGATTCTGCTGTAAGCACCTGGCTCCAGGAAACACCTGGCTCTTATCTTCAGTGCTGCAGTGCTTACACCTTAACATAGGCCTGCAAAGAACCTGTTCACAGAAAAGCAGGATATTGTCAACAGTTACTGTTGAGTCGCAGGCAAAAGGATTCCTTGGAGACCAAGCTAGAAATTGCAGATTCTCTGTATATAGAATGGTGTGGATTTAGACTTTTGTTCAAGGGGAGAGAAGATTAGAAGTAGTATAATTTAATACTTGATAGTTTCTGTGTAGGGATGGTAGTAATTTTTGGTTAAAAAAAATGGGCATGCTATTGCAATAAGACTGACTGTGAAGAAAGATATGATCCCTTGGAAAGATCCTTGGTCTGTGGAATCTCTGGAGTCTCATTTTTTCAGGCTTAGTACAGACATCTTGCTTTTGCATGCACTGAGTTCAAGCCTGCAGACTAAAATACCACGGAAATTCCATACTAGAAACTATCAGGAAATGACACCACCTAAAAGGTCAGGAGAATTATAGTGAACGCTAACACGTTGTCCCGTTCTCTGGCACACCTTGGCAAAGAAAAGTTCCGTAACAGTAGCTTTTACTTGCATAAGAGTCAGTTTAATTGGATGAAATGATTAATTAATTAGCTGTCCTGCCTGCTTGGTGTGTGCAAGTGTAAATATTTCCTTATCAGATATTACTAGCATCTGAACAGCAGATGACAGAGTTGTGTGTTTCCAGCTAGACAAAGTATTCACTTAACCCAGGTGCTCGAGGGTTATCTTCGGACCACCGTTTAAGAAAGCAACCCTATCCAAGAAAATGCTTAACAGTGTTTTTGCCTGAGTTCTCTACGGACCCAAAAGCTAAGTGTCCACTTGCATGCCTTTAGTCATGCTTTCCTCCATCAGGGCCTTAGTCCCAAAGGGTCAGTTTCAGTGTCCCTGTAAGCTCAAGCAGGCACAGCTGTGTGAACATCCTGATGATTTCTGCAGATGGCAGGGGAGCAGGACAGCTTTTGATGAGTGACCAGATTCTAGGACTTAGTGGAGCTCTTGGGTCTTCTGGGCTGGACAAACGTGTGTGCCACGACAGAACTGTGGTGTCAAGAGTGACCCCTTTAGAACAGTAGGATGTACAAATGCGATGCATCCTCCTTGAGCAGTTCTTTATTCACAGAGCTGTGTATCTAGGAAGGGCTTTAGGGCCCTGAAGACTCACTGTTCACACTTCTACTATTTCTTTTGAAACAGGGTGTCTGTGGTTATCCCACCATGCCAGAAGTCTCGCTATGCCACGTACTTTGATGTGGCAGTGCTGCGCTGCCTGCTGCAGCCGCATTGGTCTGAGGAGGGCACACAGTGGTCACTAATGTACTACCTGCAGAGGCTGAGGCATATGCTACAGGAAAAGCCGGAGAAACCACCTGAGCCAGAGATCACTCCCTTGCCAAGACCTCGCAGCAGCTCCATGGTGGCTGCCGCACCCTCTCTGGTGAATACCCACAAAACTCAGGTAAGCAGCTGCCCTCAGTAAGAGAAGAGCAACTGTTGTGTTGATGCTGGGAAGTTGTGGTTGGATGACTAGCGAAAAGCACAGCTCTGGTATTGGTTTAGTTGCCTACAGGTCAGATGTATGCATTGGTTCAGAAAAAGACCCTTATAATAATGAGGGTTTGGAGGCAGAATCTAGCTCAGTCGGAACTGGTGATTGCTGGAAGCTTGTGGGTTGGTTTGAGAGAATTGATCTAGGGTGAAATGTGATTAAAAAATCTGTCACGTGGGATTGTCCTAATGCGGTTGTCAGAAGAAATCATATTGCCTTTGCATTGCAGCATAATGCTCAGGACTCCCCAAGCTCTCTTAGTCATAACCCCCCCCCAGTGGAGAGAAAGGGAATTGTTGCTTGGTACAGCACTAGGCATTCCACGTGACCAATTTTGTTAAAATATTGGAGCAGATTTTGCAAGCAGTTAAAAGCTCTCCAGGTTGTAACCTCTTTTTTATTCTTATTGCGTAATTTATACCTTTATATTTGCCAGCAAAATCCCAGTGGACAAACTGTCCTGATAGGTGTCAAAACTTATTCCCCATTTTGCTGGAAAAGGGGGCTATCCTGGGGAGTGTCCTGAGCTTGATACACTACAGGGCTTTGTGTTAGAGCATAATTCTGTTGTTGTTGTTGTTGTTATTTTTATTTTGGATAGCTCACTTTTGATCTAGGGATAAAAAGAGGCTGCTGCTGCAGCTCCAGTTAATCTCCTCATTGATTTGTGCTACTTTTAGGTTGTGAACTCTTTTCCTGTCATGGATTTTTAACAGCAAATTTGGACGTACTAAGTTGGAAGAACTGCCTTACAAAATTTAATACAGGATTCTATCTGCCCCACCTGCTCTTTTCAGTTAATGTTGCTGTCAAATATGGTTTTTTAGTCAGAATTCTCAACGTTTTTGGCATTTTTTTTCTTTAAAATCCTTGCTTTCCGTATTGTAGAGATCTGGCAGTTTTTGAGCTGTACTTTTATAAGGGGGAGAGGTGGAATATTTTTTTTTCCTATACAGCCCAGATGCTCATAAACCAGAAAACAAATAGAAATAACATGAATTTTGTTGGTATTGTTATTGTAAATCTCAGGATTTTATAATCGTTCACATGATTTTTATGAGGGCTAGTGGTTACTCATGGTCTTAAGGGCTCAGAAGTGGCGGTACTGTTTAAACTGTACTATATTTTAGTGTCATTTCTATAAATTGTTGCCTGTTTCATCCCTGTAAAAGCTTGACGTAGCTCTGTAAAGGCCAGGTGATACAAATTACTATACAATCTTAATCTACCTTTGCATGGGGATTTTGTAGGATTGCTGTGCATGTACAGAAAATCCTCTGTAATGTTATCTCCTAGAGGGAATGTCAGTTACTGGAACAGTACATTAGAGAATATTGCTGTAAATGTAGTTCACTGTTTCCATGCATGTACTGTCACTTTGCCTTTGCTTTGACCAACTGAGTTATTTTGCACGCATTGTTGCTACTAGTGGAGCAGGGCCTGCAGTCAGTGATTCTCAGCGCAGCAGCAGCAGCAGCAGCGTGAATGGAAATGTCCTCCGTAGGCACTGTTTGCTCTAGCATTGTGCTGGTGGTTCTCCGTATAGTGAGAGACTTTTCTCCTTTCACACACTTGGCTATTCCTTGCTTTTCCAGGCTTTTTTTTTCTCTTGCTCTCCACTAACATTTTTCTGTTAAATCCATTTGGCAATTCCACTGGGTGCTTTTTGGCTGTTAATGTGAGGAGTCTGTCCAGGGCATTCTTCCCTTCAGGGCTAGGTTTGATTGCTTTTGGTAACCTCTGTGTCAGTCTTGGGTATTTTTACTGTACTTCATCAAATTGGAATTCTGTTTAAAAAGGTTTCCAATTTCCTAAGCAGAACAGCTGTGATGGAGGAGGTGAAAGCGTCTTCCGTGCAGGAGAAGTTTCAGCTCATTTCTTCCTTCTTTACAACACCAAGGACTGAGCTCTGTACAGCACACAGAGACATTTAGGCCCTGTTTCATCCCAGCCAATTGAAGGCGCTTAACTGAGGTTCTTAAATTAGGACTTTCCTCACTGAAGGATCTCTGCCAGTCAGAGGAGAGAGTACCACCTCCAGAAGGCAAGGCAATGTTTATAAGATTTGTCATTTCTTTATATCAACTCACGGGGTTTTATGTTGACTTTACCAACTCACCAGTAAGAGACAAGGGATATGCTGAAAACCTGCATCTTCAGTCTAGATCTTAAATTCCTAGTCGGATGTCATCGTTTTTGTTCACAGATTGATGCAAGTAGAATTAATGCTTTTCCAGTAGGAAATTAAGTTCTCCAAAAATATTGACACTCACGATTCAATGGGATAGTTTTAAAGTGGCAGCCAGAAACTGATTAAAGACAAAAATAACTGCATGCAGATCAGATCAGGGACAGAGTAGTAGAATTTCTGATAAACTGCAGAGCAGCAGGCAGAATGTGGATTTATCAAGTCAGCTCCCAGCATCTCCCTAAGCCTCAGCAGAAGTCTCACGCTTCTTGTTGGTGTCTGTGTGCTTGAAATCACATTTCAAATATACTCTTGGGGTAAACAACTTCAGATCAAATGTTAGGAGAACTCAAGAAATATTTTTCATTCATTGCCTAGTAAATTGAAGAGCAGAGTAGGAAAAGATTCAATGCAGCATGCCAACGATCCTTGTTGCAAAGGAAAAGGGGTACTGGATGAAGTGTGAGTAAGATCAGTGCTACCTTCCTATAGAAAGTGACTTTAGTCTGAACATATTTCAGACCTGGCAACATAGGATAAGGAAAACCTGCATTGCACCTGTATGCAGTGAATTCAGCACAAGGACGGGTCTAGGAAATGAAACCTTTGGAGACTCACAAACCTCTACAGTCTTGCAATAACATTGCAGGAGCAAAGAGCCAAAGCTTAAATTAAACATAAGACCAATGCAGCTGTAACGACTGGTCGCAATACTAGTATAAAGCCAGGAGTCTCAAGTGTAATACTTTGAGAGTTGAGTGAAGTAAGGAATGAGTATCTACAGTCGTGGAAAAGCAAGGCAATAGAAAACAGAAATAAAAAGATCTACAGTAGCAACCCCCAAACTGTTTTACTTTCATATCCATCTTATGCATATCATAAATGCCACATAGTCTACTGCGCAGAACTGGTAGTCACATTTTTAATCAGTCTTGAACATGAGTATTAGCTTAATTCATTAAAATGGGTCTTATACCACACTATAGAAGAAAGCTGGCTCTGTAATTCACTTTTAAGGTATTGTTTGCTTTGATACCTACGCTAAGAAGTTCTCAGAGCTGGGACTATGTCTTTGTGTGCTTGTACAGCATGTGTCACAGTAGACCCTAGTCCTCACTCTGTCCTTTTGGTGACCATTAGTCACTTACTAAACACACTGCTTTAGTAACTAACAGGCAAAGGTATTGAATCTGAATTACATTGACATGATGTTTTTTCCAGCCAGAAGGAGCAGAAGAGCTTTAAAAGCCAAGGATCAAGCCACGTGAAGTACTGGCTGGTCTTGCTATTGAGAGAGGCCAGGGCTGAAATCTGATTTGCTGTCTATTGGATTTTGCATATGGCTCCTTCCCTGAATCTTTAATCATATGTGCAGGATGGTTTAAAACCATGCGTTGACTGACTGTGACTGAAAACAACCGTGAAGAAGAATCTTTCTTTTGTATGTCTTTTTCATTCATAGATTGTTAAATAAATTGAAAGGATTTAAGGGTAGTCTTTGACTAGTTTGAAAAGTCTCCGAAAAACATGGGGTCTCCAGTATGCCAGTATTGCGAATTCTGCAGCTGGTGCTTAACGCTTCTGCTGCAAAGACTATCACAGGCTTCGGCTGACCTTCGTATGCATAAAGCTGCACACTTGTGTGTATTGCAAAGCTGGGAAATGGTTAGCCAGGATGTAAACCTTCTATATTAAAGGAGTCACTTCATCTGCATTGAGAGGCAAAAGGTGTTTTAACATGATCTGGTTGTTCAGCCCAGCCTTTCTGATGGGGAAGCAAAGAAGAATAAGGAAGAATAGCATCTTCGTTTGAAGCAAGCTGATATTTGGGTAGAAGAAAATTATCCTGAGGGAATCTGGTCAAGTCAGCTGCACAAGCATTGCATGAAAAGTGACATCAGACCTTTAATGAGAACAGATGGCCGGGAGCTGAGTTTATGCCACCTTTTGTAGCAAAGCCTTTCTTTACAGTAGGCAACTGTAATGTGTCTGGCTCAGAGCAGAAGGGGTGTAGTGTGCCCTCTGCTGAGCTGTCAGTAAATTCCTCTCAAGGCTTTTGCTGTCTTGGGATATTTCATGCTATAGGGGCTTTCACAAGTATAGGAAGAGAACTGTGACGTGGGCAAGTGATTTGATCCTCAAGCACTGTTACTGCAAGTGAAGGTTGCTTACTGATCTAAAGTCTTGGGTTTCTTCAGTGGGTAAATAAAGTCAAAGATGAGTGTTGCCCACTCTTGTGTCTCTTCCTTCCCCTAAAATAACCCACATGGCAACAACAAAAGGCTTGCAACTTTGACAGCAAGTCTTGTACTTGTGAGACTGTATAATGCAAATATTTTTACAAATCAAGTCTTTCTTGAAGGCATCTCACTGCTTATTGCAGTTCAATTCCAAAATACGTTATTAAAGGAATGTATTGTTAAGGGTGTACTCTCTTGGATCTTAAATAAAGTACGTCATAAAGGGTGGTCATTATGATTGCTTGTAAATGTAAAACAAGGCCTCAAGGAGATCATCTGCCACCCAAGGTCATATCTGAGGTCAGAATCAGAGCAGAGCAGACCATGAGTCTTCCAGGCCACTAGGCCATATTGACAACAACTCTTGTGGCTTTCTGTAGCAGCGCAGTGGCCTTTCTTTTTTTGCATGATGACTAGAATATTTGACAAGGTCCATAACTTTAGAAGCCTGTAAACCTTTTTTTTTTTTTCCTCTAAATTTAAGAATGAAGTTTTGCGTGATGAATTGAAGGGCCTTTTCATCTACAACCCTCCTGTGACAGGTCTTGGTATTAGCTCTGGTTTTAAGTTGATTATCCTCCCTTTCTCCTTATGCTTATTCTCTTATGTTGGGAGCTGCAGGATCTTACAATGAAATGTAACGAGGAGGAAAAATCACTAAGCACTGAGGCATTTTCTAAGGTTTCACTGACCAACTTGCGTAGGCCAGCAGTTCCAGATCTCTCCACAGACCTGGGAATGAACATCTTCAAAAAGGTGAGTGGAAGAAAATTGCTCTTTGATTTATCTGTGATTCAGCACCTGTATATCCTGATAAGTAGCAGCTGAAGGTATACTTGGACCCTTCTATATGTGAGACTTGCATCTCTTTTCATTTAAAGTAGTTTTATCTGTTACTGCATAGGTTTTTATGTGCCTATTCCAACCACAATACTAAATCTTTTCAGGTCACTCTCCTATTGAGACTGATCTGGGGGAGGATACTCGAACAGTGCTGTTTAACAGACAGATTTTTAAGTGCTATCGCTCACTGTAGGTCCAGCCAATTTAGTGAACTTTTTCTGATGTTTTTATCTGATGAAGATCTGATTTTGCAACCATCCGAGATGCTTAGCACAGTTTTGTGGATTGTACGAATCTAGCTTCAGTTTCAGAATGTCATAAAATTATATAAAGACAGCCATCCCTTCCTGGGGCATGAGTTCCTTAACACACCTGTATGATCCCGGAGCGCAGATAGCTGCTATCAAGGTGAATGGCCGAGAAGAAAGGCTTAGAGTGAAAGGTTACAGCTGGGCCACACACGCTTATCCTGTTCCCTCAAATACTAGTTACATCCCTCAAAGCCTCTACCTGCTCTCCTCTCTGCTTCTCTTATTCCTGCAGTTTAAGAGCCGCAAAGAAGATAGAGAGCGTGAGCGCAAAGGATCAATTCCTTTCCACCATACGGGGAAGAAGCGGCAACGAAGGATGGGGGTGCCCTTCCTCCTCCATGAGGATCATCTAGACGTCTCACCCACTCGCAGCACCTTCTCCTTTGGCAGTTTCTCTGGAATCGGAGAGGACCGGCGTGGCATTGAGAGGGGAGGATGGCAAACCACTCTATTAGGTGAGACACTGTTATCTCTGCCCAGGTTCTGTGCCGTTCATATTCAGAGAACAGCAGAGACGCTTTACTTCTCCATCACTCCTATTGCCAGCTTATGTCCTTGGCTCTCTCTGCAGCATTACACACCTGTTTGCAGAAGTGGCAACTGTGCTGACAGCAGGCCTTGAATGACTTACATTTTAGCTCACTTTTTCTCTGAAAATTTGCCATCTTTGGTGGAAAAAAAGCTATTGGAGCAGCCTGTTGTCATGACTGTACCACTAGAATGCACTTTCCCTGAGTCATAGCAGGCAGTGGACAACTGCAGCTTACAATTGATTCAAGTAATGGTTGCATCCTCCATCTAAGGAGAAATCTCTGGAGAGGCAATATGGTCATTAGGACTATGGCAAAAAATATTCCGTTTTCCTCGAGTGAATGTTGGATACAAAATAAGTGGGGCATCGCTTCAGATATTGTTAAGATGCAGTGTTTAAATCTAAACGTTGCCTTCTTCAGACTTCTGAGTTCACTGAGCAGCATCTAGGCATTGTTTCTGTTTCACTAACTTACTCCTAAGCACATGGAATTTCATTCTGGCACCCCTTCTTGGATATGGAAGGGAGCAAAATGATTGTCTAACGTTATGGTAGAGCCTTCTCATGTCCACTTGTTTAGATGGCATCCTTCTGTTAAGCTCTCCATTGTGAAGACATGCCCCTCTTTGGGGGGATTTTGAGCTTATCCAAGTGCATTCTTAAAGGTTCGCACACATTTTTTTCAATGGGTAATATATAGAGACTTAAAGATTTGTTAAAGAATAGCAAACTTAGTGTCCAAAATGCTCCTTTCCATATCTTCAGCATCCCAAGAAGTTTGTTAAACTTTGGTCTCAAGGGTTCCATCTTCTTATCCTGGCTTAACTGTCAGTTGTTTCTTTCTGCCACTTCACTGAAGTCATATAGTTCAGGTCTGATGGTCAACCTATCCTGCCTAGTTCAGAGAAGTTCCCCTCTCTCACCAGGATCTTCTGATATGTAAGTTGTTATATTCCTGGAGAACTTCCTTTGCTTCAGCAACTGCCAACCCGATGCCCCTATTCTCTTTGGACAAGGGGAGCAAAAACGAAATTCCTATAACACGCTCCAGAGTGGGGAGTCTTTCAGTGATGACTAGTCTCATTTTCCCATAGCTGCTGGTGGGTGGTGGTGGGAATGGGTCTATGTCAGCTGAATCAGTGCGTGCTGAGGCGAGGAGCCTTGTGGAGAGTTTGTACAGTCAGTCTTTATGTTGATGAGCCCCCATGAGCCATCCTGCTAGAGTCTGTCTGGATCTGCTTCACAGGGTCCTGGGAGGCTTGGGCTTCAACTGACTCAAATCCTTCAATTTCTAAGCTCAGCTACTGTCTCTTGCCTCCAAGCACGTCTCAGATATGTAAGCGATCTATTTCTTGTCTTCACCTTAGGAAAGTTTGCCAGACGGGGGAGCTCTGACACAGCAACGGAGATGGAAAGCCTCAGCGCTAGGCATTCACACTCTCACCACACCCTGGTCACTGATCTGCCAGACCACTCAAACAGCCATGGAGAGAACACAGTCAAAGAAGGTGAGCTTAACGCAGCAGGAAAGAAACATTTCTTGCAGTGCGAACTGCAAGAAACTGACAAAGCGTAACTGTTTCCATGTATTACTATCTGACTAATCTGCTTTTTCCTTGTGTTTTTTCCCCTGTATCTCTTGAGTTCTTTCTTCTGTTCCGTGTAGAAATGTTTTCCAAGCCTTTCATCTTCATCTGGTGCAGTTTGCGGAAGAATTGGCAGCCATCAGCAAGGAGAATTGCGGGTTTTTTTTGCCTTACCGCAGCACAACACAGGAGTTAAGGAGGAAACCTAGTGCTGGCAATTTTTGTGATTTCGTGGGGAGTCTTGTGGTATTTAATGTCCCTTGTCAGTCCCCAGCTGCTGGGTTGTGCTCAGAATTCCACTTTTCTCTTAATTTCCCTGGTTCCCAATAGAAGCCTGGTTTTGAAATTTGCTTGAAACCTGCAGTCTCCCTGGGGCCTGTCTGTCTTAGAGCCCTCCGCAGAAATAGTGATGCCAGCATGACCGTACTGGGAGAGCCCCCAGTGGGATGAAGCGTGCTTCAGACAGAAGAGGTTTTCTGTTGGCCTGGCAGCTCCACCTTTGTCAAACAACATTAGCCAGGATGAGGAAAGCTCTCTTCTATCAGCAGAGCTGTTTGCACCAGGAGGCTTTGCTGGCACTGCTCTACTGCTTATACAGAGTGAATTTGTTTTCCACCTATGTGGATGGTGCTACTGGCAAAACTTGGTCATAGAGATCAGGCCACGCTTGCAGTAAGGCCTGAGTGCAACCTTGAACCTTGACGAGGGAGCAGGCATCATATACCCCACCGAGCAGGGCACAGTCTGTCTCTGCACAAGCTGTCAGGCAACATACCTAGGAGGCTACAGATGCACTTGCATGATATATGCTATAGCCTTGGGAGCTCCCAAAGATCTATGCTTTTTTAGCACAGAAAATCCGAGTAGGCTGAGAGAGGACAGATTTGCATCAGCTCTAATCTAGCGCAGGCACATCTCCTTCATCTCTGTATCTGCCAGGCAAAGCTCTTCTCCAGGGTCAACACTGTAGAATCTGTCTTCCTGACCTGTATTTCTTCTGTAGGACAGCAATCCCATTCACTACGCCAGCTTCCTAGCCAAATATTTTCTAAAAGGTAGCCATACTCAATGCTTGCGTCTCTAATTGATCCCCCAGGTGCAATTGTACTGAGAATATATGAATATTAGGCCAAATTATACTATTGCCAGTGGTAGCCTATGGCTTTTAAGGAATGGATCTGTAATTAGAGAATAAATACAAATATTACATATTTCTTTTGTTTTGTGTGGCCAACTATATCCAAGCATCCTGGTCAATGATAATTCCTCATCTGTTGCCTACTTTCACTGGCCAGGAGAAATTTGCTAATAAGCTCATTTCTTCTGGCTGATACACTGAAAAACAGATGAAAAAGCAGTTGCGGCCTATGTGCCTGCTCAAGAGGAGTCATGGGCCCATGCTGCAGGCATGCTTGGGTATAAATGAAGGGTCCTCAGTCCTCCTTCCCTACCTCGGTGAGTCCCATCCAGACGTCAGCTCTATCACTGACCTCACTCATGAAATAAAGATGCAGCACAGGAAAAGTTACTTTATATAGATTTCGAGTATGGGGTTTCATCATCTTTTTCAAAACCAACTAAGCAAAATCTCAGAAAAACAAAAAATAGCTACCCGTGAATAATCATCAAACTTGGTAGCTCAGTAACAGAATTTCCTAATTTCACATTTTCTTTGTCATTCTCTTCAGCATGCAAGCATCACTGATTGTCATTAAAAAGTCATACTTGCCAGCAAATAATCCTGTGATCTCTTATTAGATATAGCAGCTACTTCCTGGTCTGAGCTTTGTCTGATTTGTAGCCTAAATCCAGGTAGTGCCGTTGACCTTAGAACATTTCTCTTAGTAAATAGTGCTAGTTCAGTGCTGGCAGGACTGCACAGGCTATGAGGAAATGTAGTCACCACTCTGGTTTTGTTATGCCAATAAAAACTGGCCAAAGTCCGTCATTAGATCAGAGCTTGATGATTTTCATTAGGTTTACATTATTTTGTTCATTAGAACACATTATATAGCCTTAAGTATAGATTCCTTGTTATTCCAAGGTCTGGCAGAAGGTGATCCAGCCAACGTTATGGGGTACCTTGGAGGCATAGGGTCTGTTTACACTACAGAGTGTGTAGACCTACTTACAAAGTTGTAATTCTATGCTGAATACTTGATTAAATTAGCTGGATTTGTGTTGCCAAAATGCTCTCACTACCTGAGCTAACCAGGTTAAGGTTAAGCTTGGCTACATCTTGAGATCCCCTCTCTGAGTGCTGTTGAACTTAGACTCTATATTGCTTTTCTCATCACTCAGCTTTGCATCCTGGAGGGGTTTTAGCCTGTTGCAGGTAGTGTTAGGAGTACATGGCTCCATTTTTTTTTTCTACAGATGTGATGAATTCTTTCACACTGGTGCGACTTAGAAAGCTGGTCTGAATTGGTGCTGCTGTTATCCTACCTTCACTCTTGCATCCAACTGCAGAGTCCCCTTCTTTCCCTTGCAGTGGCACTGCTTGCTTATGAGACCAGGCATTGGAGCAGTACAGGGAGCTGAGCTAGCCAAAAGCTAATCCGCCTTTTGGTAGGGCTAGATTTAAGCTGGTTGAGCTCCGTGATCTACTTAACTGCCTAGTTGACTGAGATCAACTTAAGCTGCCGTGAAACTGAACTGTTAGCGCAATCTTGGGGTGGTTGTACTGGAGACCAAGGATAACATTTCAAAGAAAGAAATGGATCTATGCTTTTGTTCCTGTACCCACATCAGGAAATAGGAACCTGTCTTGTCTTTCTGTATCGCAAGCTGCATTTTCAGCTGCTCACCTGTTGTAAATAAGCACAGCCTCAGTCTGTCATTTGATAATTCCAGAGAATAAAATTCACAGGTAGCCATTTTCCTCCCTGCAGTGCGATCCCAGATCTCCACCATCACTGTGGCCACCTTCAACACTACCCTGGCCTCATTCAATGTGGGGTACGCCGATTTCTTCAGTGAGCACATGAGGAAACTTTGCAACCAGGTGCCCATCCCTGAGATGCCGCATGAGCCACTCGCATGTGCCAACCTCCCACGGAGCCTGACAGACTCCTGCATCAATTACAGTTGCTTGGAGGATACGGATCACATTGATGGAACCAACAACTTTGTCCACAAGAACGGCATGCTGGATCTCTCGGTAATTGGCAAGGAGTGAGAAAAGCCAGGTCCCTCTTCTGTCAATATAGCTGTACCACTGGGATCAGGGTTTTGACGGGCTTTTCCTCTGCCTCTCTATATGACTTCTCTCAGCCTTCTCATAAAGGTCAGTCAGATAAATTTGTGCGTATCATAAGAGTCTCCTCTCAGATAGTGCAACTCCAGTTACTCCTCGCAAGGAGTGCATGTGCATGTGGAATGCACACATCAAGTCTCCAAGGGCTATTATTTAATGGTTGTGCTGCCAGGGCATGCACCGAGTTCCCTGTAAAAGAGCATAAAACTGAACACCACCTTTCTTCTAATAGCACCTTAAAACTCACCCTTGCTGCATTCCCCCTAATGACTTGACAGCTCCTGGTGCACTGAAGCAGTGTTCTCAGGCTCACAGATGTCATCTCATGGTTTCCTTTTCTGCCTGACTGTGCCCAGCCTGTGGTCTCTTGTCTTACACTTGGATTGTAGGCTTTTTGGGGTTAAGGGTTGCATCTTCTTCATTCTGAGTTTGTACAGTGCCTGCTATAATGAGTTTCTGGTCTGTGACTGGAATTTCCAGGCACTACATAGTTAATAGGAGAGAAAATAAGTCTGACTTTAGAATATGATGTTTGAACCTCCCAGGTGGTCCTGAAGGCTGTTTATTTGGTCCTGAACCATGATATCAGCTCCCGGATCTGCGATGTGGCACTGAACATTGTTGAGTGCTTGCTTCAGCTTGGTGTGGTGCCCTGTGTAGAGAAAGTCCGGAGGAAGAGCGAGAACAAAGAAAATGAAGCCCCTGAAAAACGACCAAGTGAAGGATCCTTCCAGCTCAAAGTGGCTGCTTCTGGAGGTTCGGCTTGTGGATTTGGGGCTCCCCAAGTCAGCGGAGCTGGAGATGGAGGAGAAGAAGGAGGTGGTGGAAGTGGTGGAGGGGGAGGAGGTGGAAGCGATGGAGGTGGTGGTGGAGGAGGAGGGCCCTATGAGAAGAATGACAAAAACCAAGAAAAGGTTTGTCTTGCTTCCCTTTATTAAGTTCCTGTGGGTACTGTAAGGTCTGTAAAGACTGAGCATGTCTGTGTATGCAACTGCCCTTCTGTTTTTCTTCCCTTTTAATTTGCAGCAAAATGACAAATTAATTTGTTTTGCTCTGTTGCTCACGGGCGTTCCTCTGAAGAAATCCTATTGGGAATTCAGGCACTGTGACTCTGTCAGCAAAGCAACAGCCACAAGGAGAGTTTGTAGGCATGGACATTTTCAATATCCTGTCAAAGTGCCTGAAATCTTCAATTGCAATGATTTTTTTCAGGTGTATTGTGCAAAGCTTATAAGCAAAAACAGAATCTAGTATGTGAGTACGGTTTGTTTTCTTTGACCAGAAGTCATAAATTTTTCAATGTTGCAAAGAGAGTTGGCCAAGACAGGCTGCTGCTCACCCCCAAAGTTGCAATTTGTAGTAGCACAGTGCCTCAGACATTTTTAAAAGATGCCTATTTTTCTGCCCAAGCAAGCCAGCTGTCTGTTTTTCAGGCAGAATTTGTTAAGGAAGTAGTAAGCATAAAATACTATTAACAGCAGCTTGTAGAGGGCTTCCCATTTATAGCATGACTTTTTGAGGGGAGTTGAAAAGGAGGGAGCTGATCCCTAAACTTAAAAAAATAATTGCAGTAGATATTTCAAGAGTAATAGCTCAGTAATGAAGTGTCTGAGAAGAGAAATAGGCAGAGTAAAACGCCCTCAAAATGCCACTGGCTGTGCCAGGGATTTCACACCATGTTTCCCTCTGTGACTCTCAGGATGAAGGCACATCTATCAGCACGCACAGGCTGGCACTCACAATGCTGATCAAAATTGTGAAGTCCCTGGGTTGTGCCTATGGTTGTGGAGAAGGACACCGAGGGCTCTCTGGAGATCGCCTGAGACACCAGGTATTCCGGGAGAATGTAAGAAAATTAAAGCTCATTAAAGTGTCCTCCTTGTACTTCTGACATCAGCTGCCTGAGATTGCTGTCTGCCCCCTCTGTAGCTTCGTATATATTGGCAGTAGATCTGTTGCTGTTTGTCCCAGCTCACAGACTGTGTTGCAGCCCAGCCAAAGCAGATTTTCAGCTGCCTTCTCACCTTCCAGACTCTTATGCTTGCCAGGAGCGCACCTGAAGTCCATCCAGGGTGCTTCTGAGCACTCCAATGGTGGCTTGTCTGGAAGAGACAAATGCATGGGAGCAAAGCCCATGTGAGAGGTAGCGTAAGTCATTTCTTACATTGAGAGTACCCCAGTAGAGTAGGCTGTTTACAAGAGGTGCAGCTATTTTGAGTTGCATATCTGAGTTCAGAAGTCCAAGGTGTAGTTATGTTCACCTTTTCTAATGGTGATTATGACTGATTGCTGCTGGGCTGCTCCATCAGCTCTTGATAGTGCACTGTATGTGCAGGCATGTTCATGTGCTGAAAGGAAGTAGAAGACTCATGATCTATTGAAGTGCAAGAGGGATGGTTACCTTTGATGCCTGACATTTTTAATTCTGCCCAAGTCAGAGCAGTGGAAAGTGTCCAGTCATCTGACTTCATCCGGAAGTGTTTGAGTCTAGACCTTGAGAACCTTCCTGAGATCAGTCCAGTGCCACGTCAAACAGGAGTCTTCCAAAGGCTGTCTCCAGCACAAGGCTGTCTCCAGCACGTGCTTCTTCCTCACCTTCTGTGCTTGTAACAGTGAGCATTCCTGATGCCTATAAGGAGAATTTACACTGTGCCCATGCACAGTGGGAGTGGGGGTGGGAGCCAGGTGCTTCTCTATGGCTTTGGTGAATCTGAGCCATGCCAGTGGAGCTATAATTTGGTTCTGGGATCTGATCTAGCTTGCTCAGAAATGGATCAGCTGCCTCTGTATTATGCAGCATTCTTCCATTAGCTAGACTTTTGGGTAACGAGGAGACTGCAGTAGTAATGTTAGTTCTGGATACAGTGGGACAAGATGGGGTAAGAGTCGCAGTGATAACAGTAGAAAGGTTCTGCATAGAGCACTGGTTAAAAACACATTAATCAGAATAGCAGTTAGAGTTTTTCATTGTGTTGGAGCTGAGCCAGGAAAACATCTAGGCCTATGCATAACATTAAGCGTAACTGAATAGGCCTCTTGGAGCGAAAATTTTTTATAAAACTCATTGAATTGAGGTCTCTATGGGAAGAAATTTTTCTATACTTTTAAGTCTGCTGCTTTTTTCTGCGTGTTTGTCTGTCCAGAGTGCTTTGCATGCACCATTTGTGTTGACTGCATGCACAATTGCATGTCTGAGTTCACTGAAAAGCTGAGCACCCTTTTGTAGGTAGCAGGAAGAGTTCATGCTCCCCACAGAGCTGATATTTCAGAATCTCTAATTCCAGCCTGCTTGGGGTCCTATTGGGATGGATGCTTTTATGCTAAGATGATGACAATTAATAGCTTTTAAATAAAGTTTGCAAAATGCCAATTGATCCCTGGGAACAGATGCATCAAATGACTGGGGTCTGAGCTATAGGCTAAAAATCAGATGCCTGAGGCTGATAACCTGTATCACCAAGGCAATAAGTCATGACTGAGGCGGGCTATGTTCCTACTTCATTCCTTTTCAGTGATGTTTTACTTTTGTGGGTAAAGGGGGAAGAGGAAAGCTGTTGAGACATGGCAGAAAGTGACTTCAGCATACTACCACCTCCAAACAGTGGCACCCATACTGGTGCAGTGTTTCCTTGTGCTGAATTCCTTGTTTGCTTCAGACACGAGTCTGTGTTCAGTTACAGGACCTGAAACATCTGGCTACTAGGGGAGGTTGCTTAAGACAGCACAGTGGAGCACTGACAAAGCAAGAGCAAAAAAAAAAGAACCCTAAAATGCTCTTCTCCTGTTAACAAAACTTGAACATGTACTCTGATGTGATTTGATTTCATAAATGTCGTTGCAGGCTCAGAACTGCCTCACAAAGCTGTACAAACTGGATAAGATGCAGTTCCGGCAGACCATGAGAGATTATGTGAACAGGGATTCTCTCAATAATGTGGTAGATTTCCTGCATGCTTTGCTGGGATTTTGCATGGAGCCAATCACTGACAGTAAGTATAGCTGGCATCAGAAGCTCTCGCTTGAGTGTTCCTAAATGGTACTATCAGAAGGAAACTATGGCTTTTTCTTTTCCTTTAAAAAGGAAGAAAAATCTTTCAGTTTCTACCATCAGAATGCAATGGTCACATCCTCAGCCAGTGCAGGTCAGCGTGACTGCAGTGAAGGAGTTGGAACTCCTTTGATTTGACCACCCAGTGGTCTGGCCTAGATAACTGCATCACCCAATGTGCCTGAAATTAAAGGCCTCTCTTTTTTGATTCATCCTTCCTGCTGTTCATGGCTTCACAAAATATTTACACTCAACTACGCCTCGGGCAGGAACTTTTCTGCTTCATGACATGACCTGGCACCAGCTGGAATGCCCTGTATAATCCAAGGTTTATTCTGAATGCAGATATAATTGAGCGTTAAAACCCTCTGCAATGCCTCAGGTGAGGCAGTAAATAGTGAAAACAGATCGTATAAATAAGAACATGAACACGCTGATGCACGCGGCTGTGGTATGAGTCTCAGTGTTTGTGTGTATGTATATGGATATATATGTGTATATATATTCATATATGCATATGTATATGTGCATATATATGAATATATGTTCTTCCATGTTTTAGTTAGGAAAATGATTCCGATGCTATTAGAATGACCAAAAGTCTATGTTTCGTTGCTGCATCCATGCAACAACAATTAACAGTGATTGTTTGCAGTACAGGAATAGCTGCTCCAAAGCGCGCAGCAAGTCTGCCTAGTCTGTTAGCCTATCTCTGATCCCAGGCATTTCAAAGAAAGCATCAAGAGAAACTATGTAGCAGGCTTCTGTGAAGTAGATGCCCGCAGGAAGTTTCCCCAAGTATTCATGGATAATTGACTGGCTTACGCTTTGAAGCTTGGCAGCCCATGCTTTTGAAAGTCTTTTCTCTCACCTAGTAAAACTGGGGTGGTTCTTGTTATCCATATAAACATGTAGTTCTTTTTTTTAAACTTTTTGAGATCTTGGCCTCTTCAGGTATCTTTTGGGAACAGCATTTTTCTAGGTGAGAAGATTTTCCATTAATGGGCATTAAATTTGCCACTTTTCAGTTCAATCAAACACCTCTTATTCTTTAGAAATAGCAAACAGAAAAGCTGGAGGTGTTGTTCAAATTTAGTTTGTTGTTTTGTACTCCTGTAAATGAGAGATGTGAATAAAGGGAAGCTGAACTGGCCCTGATCTTTTCCATCCATTTTCATACTATAATCATTTCTGGAAAAATTCCATCGTTCTCATTTATTTTACCCTTCCCTTCTGCTGTATTTTTAATGGGGTAGGATTACCAGAACTGAGCATAGGATTTTAGGTGGGGACCTACCTTTGTCTCATGTATCTGAATACCTTTACATATGTCATTAAGCCATGTGTTGTAAATTGTTCTGAACAAAAGGGCTTGCTTGTGCTTGAATTTTACAGACAAGGCTGGCTTTGGGAATAACTTCACCACAGTGGACAACAAGTCTACAGCCCAGAATGTAGAAGGTATTATTGTCAGCGCCATGTTCAAATCATTGATCACTCGCTGTGCTTCCACTACACATGAACTGCACAGCCCAGAAAACCTGGTAAGCACTTGACTTCGTGTCTGCAAAGTTGCCTTTTCACTTGAGTGTCACTAATGAGGTTTTATAGTCAAGGCTGAATTCAGTCTAGCCAAATCCCATGGCATAGCAAGCTATGCTGTCATGACTGAAACATGAGAAAAATGCCATGCCCTCTTCTCCTTCCTACCTGGGAGCCTGACATAGCCAGGGTAGAGTTGCACACTCTGAGTTGTGGTTTCTTCTCTGTTCAAGCAAGGTGATTTTTTCCATGGATTTGACCAAATGGATTGGTAGCACTAGTCTGGAGTGAGGGACTAATGAACAAGACTATAGCCAGCATAAATCAACTTTCAGCAAAGTTAAAGCCAGTTTACTTCCTAGCGCTGTTAGGAAACTCATATAGTCTGCGATTGGTGGTCTGCAACCTTAACCAAGTAAAGGATGTGGCCCACCCGTGGCAGATCATGCAAGTTTCCTGACAGCAATTTGGTTGGTCTTCCCAGGGCTTAGACATGCATTTATTTGCCAAGCGGCTGGAGCAGAGTAAGGTATTACTGGCCCCTGGCTGTGTGCTGTCTCCCCAGAGCAGTCAGCAGAAAGGATGATGTGAATTTTCTTCTTCCAAACTTATGCAGAATCTGGCAGTTCATCTCAAACCACCTCCCTTATTATCTGGAATTAGGATTTTTTGTAGAAGCAAACAAGAAACACTCATGCACTCCATCTTGATGGCAGAACTTTAGAAGCACTGAAGTCCAGCTAAAGGGGCAGTGGCATATCCTTCTGATGTGAGGAAGAAGAAGAGGGAAAGGCACAGCAACATCTTAAACCAGCAGCATAGTCTCCTTATGTCTAGTTCCTCTTGTAAAAGTCTTTCCTCCATGCCCTAGCCCCCAGCGATAGAGGTGACCTTGGCATGTCACAGATGTGAGTGAATGTTTGCAACTAAAAAGAGCCTTGAGTGTAGGAGTAGATTAGGGAATGAGTGAGTCATTCCTCTCTTCCCATGATGTAGAACTCTAAAATAATTAAGAAAATTCCCAAGACACCTACAGGTTTTGAAACAAAACATGCAATTTCTTACGCTCTGCTTTTTTTCCTCCCTTCTTTTGGCTTTTTTCATGCCTTTTTAGATTATGGCTGGATAAATGGGATAAAAGACGCTTTAAGACATCTTTGCAGTTCCCTCTTCTTGCAGCTGTTTTAGCCTCTGACACCTCTACAGCTGCCTTAGCTGATTGCAGAGCATGTTCCAAAAAAATAACGCTCCTCGCTGTCTCCTTGTTCTGCATGCACTGAATGGAATTTTCAGCTTTTGATTCCAGCCAGAAAACACAAACCTATATGTGGAAAGTACATCAGACAACAGCCAGAGGAAATAATGGCGTACTTTAGGAACTACTGATTCTCGTTGCTTCTTCACAAACTGCAGTCTGAATTCTCTTTCACTTTCATGATGTCTTGTTAACCAGGGCTTGTACTGCGATATCCGACAGCTGGTCCAGTTTATCAAGGAGGCTCATGGGAACGTCTTTCGGAGAGTTGCACTTAGTGCCCTCTTGGATAGTGCCGAAAAGTTAATACCAGGGAAAAAAACAGAGGAAACGGAGCAAGAGTCGAAACCTTCTGGGAGCAAAAGGTTGGTGTCTGGGAAGGAGAAAGCAAATGACCGACTGACGTATGGATGTATGACGACATCCACTGAACACAAATGTAGAAAGTCCAAGGGCTTGTGTGTTTTATCTTCAAAGCATATGTCAGTTCCTGAGGTACAGAATTGTAGCGTGGCAGCAGTCTCCCTTAAAATGTACTGAACTGAGGCAATCATAAATTTGCAGCAGAACGTGTTAACCCTCGTACGCAAGAGAGCTAACAGAACAGCACAGTGGAATCACTAGGAGGAAGAAAGGGTAAGAGAAGTAAGAAGCACAGTGTCAGTCCTGCAACGCTGTGGGGACATAGCTTTTAATGTGCATCATATCCTGGGGGAGGCTAATGTTGTTTATCTGACAGATACACCCTGGTAGGCACAGCAAAGCCCAAAAGAAATCTGGTCCTGACATGCTTCTCTATAACAGAGAAATTTTCTCTTGCTTTTTGAGGCTTGTCATATTAAAATGTAGGAAAGAAGGATCAAAAAGAATTGAAAAGCTCCTAGAAGTCTTGCCCTCACTTCTAAGACATGGTGCATATTTGATGGGTGATATGTATGAAGGCAGTAAGATTCTAAGAGGAGAGTATATCTCTGAAGCTGTTTCATTGTTCAGCAGAGCCAGTTTCCGTGTCCTTTAGCAATGTGATGATCATGAGATGGGCCATCCATTTGCTTTAGCTGATGATTTACGTTGTCTGTATAGATCCGAGGTGGGAAGTGTCATTATTGACAAAGGTCAGGCATCAGCTGCCCCTGATGAATGTCGTAGTTACGTCTCAAGCCGTCCAATGCAAACTCCAGAACAGTAAGTAAATATGGAATAGTTTGACCATGTTATTGCCAGTAGCTTTCTTCTGGGGGTTAGTACAAGTGGGCAGGGCAGCAAAGATTCTTCTCTTTGGATGGTACAACAACTGCATAGAGTGTCTGTTCAGGACTTGCTGATTACATCCAGGAAGGGCCTATTTTCAACGCTGCGAAGTGGACCCTGCTTGTTTTTGGCAGGGAACCATCTGAGAGTCTCAAATAAGACTGCAGTAGATTTGTCAATATCTCATGCTATGATAGCCATGAACAGGGTGTTAATTCTTAGAGATGTTATTGCAGCTATTCCTTGTGCTGTGCTTGCCCTTTTGGGGAGTGATTTCATTCATTTTCAACTTCCAAGTTGTTGCTAAGGGTCGCTACTCCTTTACTGCTTCCCAACAATCAGCCTACTTCTGACGCAGCTTGGATCTGCAGTCTCCTGAGATTGTTGCATTTCTCTTATCAGCGGAGGTGCTTTAACAGCTCTCTTAATGAGAGAATCAGCCTGTTGTTAGGTGTTACATGTTTGAAGTATCTATTGCCCAAAGAATTCTGCTGTTTAATATTGAAGTAAATTTAATCAATATTCTCAGGAATTGTAGAAAATTTTATAAGCAGCCACTGGCCGCCTAGGAAAGTTTGGACGAGTCACTTGACTTCTCTGTGCCTCTGAATCCCCATATGTCTTGCTAAAGTGCTTTGAGATGCACTATAGGAAGACATTGCACAAGGACCTAGAGTTCTATGTTATGTATTCTCCTGTTGAACTGAGCAGGCAAAGTCTCACTGTTGCTGAGATTGCAAGCAGAACAGAAAACCCTTTATTGCTATGCAGAGTTATTGCAAGCTGTTCTGCTCTAAGCCCTGCAACAGCAATGGAATATCTCAAGAGTACAGCATATTACAGTATGTTTATACTGTCCTCATTCCAACATGGTAATGAGAACTTTGACTCCAGCAGGTTCATGCATGGCAATCATGATGTCCAAAAGCTCTTTAGTACATATGCTTGTAGAAGGCACTAGTGTAGTCTTATCCAGTATGGGTCATTTTGACCTAAAGAAGCTGATTTGTTTTCTACTTGTAAGAACTAAAAATTGGAATGACCTGCTCAGTGGGCACGCTCCTCAGGTAGAAAAGATGGTTATTTTGTGCCTTGAACAATATTGAGCATGTTGTCAAACTTGATTATGTCCCACTGAGAAGAGTTTGTTTGGAATTCAAAATGTGAAAACCTCAAAGAGCACAGAAGTCAGCAGGGGGCTGGGAGAGAGAGGCCTCATTCCCTTGAGCATCCAAGATTCACTGAAACGCAGTTTGCGTTTTGCATGCCTCTTCTTCCAGTGATGAGCAAATTCAAGGGGCCGTTCTGGGACGCAAGGACTTTTGGCGAAAGATGTTCAAATCGCAGAGTGCAGCAAGTGATACGAGTAGCCAGTCTGAGCAGGACACATCTGAGTGCACCACTGCTCACTCTGGGACCACCACAGACCGGCGCTCCCGTTCCCGTTCCCGACGAATCTCCCTCCGAAAGAAACTCAAACTCCCCATAGGTAAATGTATGTCTCTTCATATTCTATATACATACTGCATGTGAGAGAAATACAGATAGATATATCTATCTAAAGACATACTGTATCATAGTTCCTTACTGTCCAAATATGTTGTATATTCTCCCAAAGGAAGCTGGGAAATGCTGCTCTCTCCATTTTACAGATGGGGAACTGAGGCAAAGGGAAACATAAGCAATTTGGCTAAGGTAACAGAGGATGTCTCTGGCAAACCAGAATATTGAATCCGTGTCTCCAAAGTAGTAGGCTAGTACCCTAATCTCCCAGGCATTATTCCTTGCTGTAGAAGAGAGATATTCCAGGCAGCTTTTGATAGACAAAGAATGCATCCTTTACAAGATCCTGCCTTGCGTGATAGTTCATGCACGTAAAATCAAGAGACTGCCTTCCCCTTTCCTCCCATTTTTCCATACCCTAGCGTGGCCGCTTCAGAGAAACATGCTAGATTTGTTAACAGATTCTACTTGGAAGCATTTTCAGAATTGTCCTCAGTGGCTTATTCTGCAACAGGGAACTGGCTGAAGCGCTCCTCCCTCTCTGGCCTTGCTGATGGCGTGGAAGACCTCCTAGATATCAGCTCTGTTGACCGCCTGTCTTTCATCAGGCAGAGTTCCAAGGTAAATGAGTCAGACTGGATTGCAGAGAACTTGGAAGGACAGGATGTGGCTGCTTTCAGCTGTTCAAGGAAACACTCTGGTTAGCATGGACCTTGTAGCCAATGAGACACAGTGACAGAAGACTTTGGAGTAGATTGCCATAGGAATTTGATACTGGACTTTTTGCAGTTCACAGCAAAGTGAGGGAGTCTCACTCTTGGGTGCAGATCTACTTTCCAGAGTCAAAATATCTGTGATGGGTGCTAAAAGGCCTCTGGCTAAGGACAAGAAGGAAAGCCTTCTTCCAAGCAGTGGACTTTGTAACACTGCTGTTCCCTGGAAGCAAGAATATTTTCTTTTTTCCTATACTCTTACCTCCTCTCCGCTCCAGTCATTGCATATGAGAAGAACCTACTTTCTATGTAGCGGGGGGTGTGTGTTCATTCTTCTACCATCCCATTACCTCCCTTTCTTCTGTGCAAAAGCTCTGGAGAGCGCCACGATTTGCTGTTCCATGTTGCAGGATTTTCAAATTCTGTCCTTCCCCAAATGCCAATGTAGTCCACCTGCAGCAGGCACAGCATGTGTTGCCTTCTCCGGTACCATGCAAGAAAGAGCCTTTCTATGGAAAGTGGCAGCTTTCTCTCTCACTTTCAAATAAGGGAGGTATTGTTTGCAGACAGACCGCTTGGGCACCGATGATATCCTTCAGTGTTTTTGAATACATAGTCTAATGTGCAGAAAAATACTGAGGAGAAGCTTTAATGAAGCACAGACAATATTTGGGATAATAGTGAACAGTATGAAGTATGTCTGGGCGTGCTGGAGATAGAAGAAGACGACAGGTAGAAGAGGACAGTTACCTGAAAGGGTAATGAAGTATGAGTGAGGAACACAGTCTCAGTAAAGGAGGATGAGGTCCCTAGATGTTATGAGTTTATCAGGAAAAATGATGGAGCTGATTCTCTGCATGAAAGAAATGATGATGGAGGCTGTGGTGCGTGAGTAGCTTCTTGAAGACTCCTTTCTGGAATTTAAAGAAGACTAGGTTAAATGTATGCTGTACTTATCCATCTGTCTTTGTTCACTGAGAGAGAAATGCAGATCCAGTCAATACATTTAAAGTTTAATTTTTGATCGTAATGCTCCTTCCTTCTTTGTGTCTTTACAGCCTCTTGTGAAAGACCAATCTTTTAAGTAGAAAGCTTAAAAGACAAAGAGCTTCAGCATATGTAAACCCATGCTTACCCAGTTGTGTTGCATCTTTAGATGCTTTGTGTCTAAGCAAGGAAGACCAAGAGGTGGTGGCATGGGGTAGTGTGACCTGGCCTTCTGTTTCTGCACAGGTGAAGTTTACCAGTGCGGTGAAGCTGTCCGAAGGAGGGGGGCCAGGAGGTGGCCTGGACAACGGGCGAGATGAAGAGGAGAATTTCTTCAAGCGTCTTGGTAAATGGCGCACCTGCCGAAGACACCCATCCAAGCTTCATCACACAGAAGAAAAAGATGGTTAGAAATCAGGGTTCTCGTCGTCTTTTTTTTCTTTCTTTTTCTCTTGATTTAGTTTTTTTATCTCTTTCTTTCTGTATTTTACCCCTTTCCCTTTTCTCCTGCTTTCTCCATAGTTTTTGTATCCATTCTAGCCTTCTCCAATTTTTCAGTCTTTGTAACTGTTTTCCTTCCCTTCCTTCTTTCTTTTGTTTTCGTTTAGAAGAAACTCTAGCAAAATAGAATTCTTTAAGGAAAAAAAAAAATCAAGTTTACCCAATTAAATTAAGCAAATGTGACATTTGGGCTTTTTGAATCAAATTGAATTTGATCAACACATTTGAAAAATTAATGCTTGCTTCAAAGCATTGATTCAGTTCAAAATCAGGTGTGTAAATCTTTCATTGCCTAATACAATGATGGGTGTTCCATCAGTTTTTTTGTTTCCATTTTTTCGATTTGTGACCATTTGACAGTTTTAGCAAAGATCAGCACTGATGAAATGGAAAACCCTGCACAAACCTTGTTATAATTATCTCTTTTCTTCTGTGTTTGCATGTCTAGTGTCTGCATACCATTTGTTACAGATGCTGTCCCTTTTTCTTAGCACATAGCGTAATAATAACTACTTTTCCTTTCCAAGGAAGTATATTTAATTGAAGTGCATTTTTTAAAATCAGCGTTGTTTGAGAAGTGCCTTTATAAATAATACAAGGTCATGATATATTCTGTTTTCAAAAGTCATGCGGTCATTCATATGCTCGTGTCCTCAGCTCAGAGCTCTCATCCTTGTTGCCAGGGAGACAACCTTGTATCTCGAAGTTCTATTACTGTTTATTCAAAAAAAAAAAAAAAACCTCCCCAAAACACAAAAGGAGTAGATTTTCACCGTGGTTTCTGCAGCTTTTACAGTATGTTCGATTCTCTGTCGTTATGTGTTTTTATTCTCTCACTGTGGCATTGTAACGCATGTATTTCACCATCATCTGTCTCAGGCCTGCAGTGTAATGCGTATAAGTCATTGTTCAGGCAACTGAGAATAGTGAAGTATGAGCACATCTTGTCGGTGTTAACTGCTCATTATTCTACCACTGCAGAGACATTGATGGTAGTTTTAAAGTGGCTCCTAGATGAAGATTATTGTTCCTTTAGAAGGAGGTATACCAGACCAGAAGCTTGTTGTTGCTTTGTAGCTGAAGGTGGATACTCCCTCAACGGAAGGAATTGCATTGTTTTCCTCATCCGCTACTTTATGCTGAAGTAGAACTGAAATGCTCCCACTCTCTTTTGCCTCAGGTCTTGCTGGGAACAAACGATTGAAGGGCAGTGAGATGTTTAAACTGCCACAGCTGTTTCTGCAGTGCTTATGTGGTGTCCTTCATGTTTTTTGCAGGAAGAAATTTTTTTTTTTTAATCTTTCTAATCCTGATTTTACACCAGTGTGAATTTGCTTATATTTAGAGTTCCCATATTCCTGATGTAGTGGCATAGGTTTAATCTTGGTCCTGAGAGCAGCAATAGCCTCGTTCAGTGTGTGGCATATCTTACATCTACACAAAACCGAGATGCCACACTGATTATTGGCTCTGTGAACTTGGAAAGTGTTTTCTGTATTTCAGCTTTCTGTGAATAACATCAGACTTTATCTAGTTACTTTAACGAGGAGACCTTGAGATCTCTTCCACATTCCCGTGAGAGAAGTACATGATATGTGCTTGGTTTTGACATACAATATGTGTATTATAAATACTGTAATAAAAGTGATGCAATCGGTTAAAGAAAGAGACCTTTACACGTGAGTAGGAGAAACAGGCAAATTGTCCAGTGACGTTGAGAGTGAGTGCTGGACTGTTGCCCCGCACTGATCACTAACTGAAATGAAGGGAAGTTATTTCAAGTTTATAGGGTGAAGTGTGACAGTTAAGGAAGTGTATCACTATGTCCTCGAGGATCTCTGCCACACAATAAAAGCCACACGCCGATAGAAAAAGTGTTTGTTCAGTTGTGCATGCCTGTGTGTGCACATACAGGTGTGTAATCAAATCCATGAAAGGCCTTTTCATGGTGGGACAGTTTTATAATACAGAAGAAAAGCAGCATACAGAGGGCCTGGAACTTTGCAGTGCTTCCGTATCTTCCAGATCAGTAGGATATATGTGCTTATGGAGAGGACAACAGAAGGCTGTTGAGGGTGGATGGGCATCAGGGACCTCAAGGTCTGATTCTGGAATACTACTCTGGGATGTGTTTGAGACTTCCCCTTTTTGTCATTTGTGATGCTATGGCCATTGCTATGTTCATGCTTTTTCTATGTGGTTCTTCCTCCTGTGTTTTGGGGTTTTTTTTTAATGTTGTAGGCCAAGTTGAAAAAGAGGAAAGAGATAGGAAAAATACATTGCAGAAAAAAACATTAAATACAGAATAATTTGTCACGTCATTTATGAATTGTAATCTTCATTATAGTATATCATCTAGACCACTGGAAATTCTGTCCGTGTCAGATGTGTGTGTGTGTATATATATAAAAGCTGTATGTGTGTATATGTATACATATATGTACACACATAAATATATGCACATGCACGCATAGCTAAATGTTTTCTTGAATGATCTTTTTACCTATACTAAGAACACAGCATATATGCAGAAGTGAGTAGCAGTATGCTTTTTTGAGAGCCTTAACGTTTCTTCGGGCACTTACTGAAGGCAATTTGAGTGACCATAGAGGTTACCAAGGTGCTCAAGCCATACAGCATGACTGAGCAGCAGCACAAGGCCTGTTCTCGGGGTGATCTCACATTAACACAGGAAGCAACTGCAAGGTGGGAGCTTCTCGGACATGCAGTGTCCTCCTAGGTTAGGAAATGGTCTCTGCTCACTGGGTGAAACTGTCAGCTGGTCCGAGTTGCACTAACTCTCTGTGACCCAATGAGGGTTCCCCTGCTTACAGCAAGGCTTTCCCCAGACGGGCTTTGTGGAGGGTAGCCATCAGCTACCCCTGGAGGATTCTCTTGAAAAGCTTCAGCAAAGTGCAGGGCTGGGACTGTGAAGGCTTGACAAAGGCGGTAGTAATTGGTTTTAGGCAGTACCACTGACCCCAGAGAAAGTGAAGGGAGCCTGCTATCACTCAGACAAATCCTCTGCTAGATCCTAGTTATACAGGAGGTTAGGGAGCTGTCTTTGGCAGGCCTTTTTGTACCAGAAAGTCAAGTTTCTGTTCTGTATCTCATACAGGCACAGCTCTGACGTGAGCCCTGAACAGGAACCACTTGTTTGTGCCTCAAATAAACATGTTACAACAGCTATAGCAGGTGGGCTCAGGTAGTGTGCTACAGGCAATAGGTAAACAGGAGGGGCTGGAAAAAAGGGGTGTTTGTGCCCACTCATTTATGTAAGTGTTCTGCCTGTTCTTTCTGCTTTTTAAATTCGTTTGTTTGTTCCATTTTGATGCAATATTTCCTGATATAGGAACATTTTGTTTCCTGGAAAACCATGTTTAGCCTCACTGGAGAGAAAAAAGCCACAGACATCCCAAAGACATCTCTTGAAATTTGATCCATCTCTATCTTCAGCAGAAAAAAAGAAGATGCCCATTGTCATTTTGTGTTGTGACTATTGTTTGTAGTACACAGGTGCTTCCCAAGTGATCCTGGGGAGTGAGATCTCAAAGGGACTTTGAGTTTTCAGTCATTCTTCTTTCCTGAGGAAGAAGAAGTCAAAGTCCTGTACAGCTGATGTTTTGCCTCTTGTCCTCCAAATCGGTGTTTAAAGCTAACCTTGAACTCCTCACTCAGTGTTCTGTTTGTCGGTGCTTTACCCTTCAGTATTCTGTAAATTTATATACTTTCACATGTAAACGGGGAGAGTAATATGGATAAAGACAAAAAGCCCAGAAGCTGACTGTTTTTGTTTTGGCCAGCTACCTTGGCCTTGAAACTGCTTTTCTGAACTCAATTGGTAGAGTGTAAAATCATGCTTAGAAGAGGCTGGAGAGGGTGGGGAGGAAACAGGCTTGATTTTCAAAAGCCACTCTTATGTGGAGCCTTCCATCCCAAAGTATGCAAGACACTTCAAGGAGAGAGGTTGGATGGTGGATAATACCCAGGAATTGAGTCCAGTCTCACTTTGGGTGTCCTGGTTGTTGCAGGAGTTGTTAGCCTAACAACTTTTGTTTTGTTGTTAAGCTTTGAGTCATTTTTTCTTAGGCCCAAAAATGGACGGTAGTTGATTCCCACGTAGAACATTTACTAATATTTGCTACTGATTTTTCTCTCCTACCAGATAGCATGATATTATTACATTAATACATAAGGAATAAGGTTTATGCATGCTCCATGCTTCCGTGGAAGGGGAAGTTAGAGGCCAGTAAAAAAGTAAGATAATAGATTATTCAGGAAAAGGAGATAGTAAGCTTGCAGTTTTGCGTTAAAGAGGTGGGGAGGAAGTGCCGTAATCTGGTTCACTTATGTTGGGGTAGGTCCTGGGCTTCCCACACTGATTAAGTGGAATAGTTTTGGGCAGACATCAGTATGACTAAGACCAGATTCTGGCTTGCTGTATGCCTCTCCCACTTAAGTCATGAATGCTGTAAAAATGCCCCTGTTATCCTCAAGCTAGCATATCAAGGTAAGGAAGGGGTTAGGACCAAAATTGCACTCATCAGGATTTTTGTACCACTTTTTTTATTGGTGAGAGACTGTTCCCTTCTCCTCACCCCTCCCTGCATCCCCTCTCTGCGCTCTGCCTCTTCAGGTTGCCATAGCTTTGATGATCACTTGACCTCCAACCAAGAAGGAGGAAAATCCAAGAATGTTGTGAACCTGGGAGCAATCCGCCAAGGCATGAAGCGCTTCCAGTTTCTCCTGAACTGCTGTGAACCAGGCACTATCCCTGATGCCTCCATTTTGGCAGCAGCCCTAGATCTCGTAAGTCATTCACTGATGAATTTTTTACCTGCTGAGTGAGATCACGTGCACATGTGGTGGTCCATTCTTGTTCACTAGTGTTGATCGTGCCCACACAACAATCAGGTAAAGCATTAACTGGTGGTGGTGGTATTAGCTGGAGTTTTAGTATCTGTGACTGGATGAGTATGCAGAGAAAATGTTTTTTTTTTTTTTTAATTGTATGGCTCCTCATAACCAGATTATTGCCGGCACAAAGCTTTTATTGTCAGACTTAAAATTTTGCTCACAATCATTCAACTTCTCCTAGTGTCAATACTAACCTACAGGATAAAGAATGAAGACTGGATAACTACCAAGGGAGGGATGGTAATTCCACTTAAGAATTCTGGTAGAGTTAAAAACAAATTAGGCAACACTGAGCTATTAGTCACTAGAGCCAGTGAGTGGAAAAACTTCAAATGTCAGAGCGTGCATGCTTTTAAATGCAAATACTGCTAATTTGCAGACTGAAATCTCAGAAGTGACGCAAGCTCAGTCCCTCCTTTGGGACACAGACCGCCTCATCCTCATCTCTCTGCTTCTTTTCCTTACAGCTGCTCTTTTTTTAACAGTCCCTCCAATCTCTAAAGCAGTGGCTTTTAGCCTGTGGTTCATGGCCAGTGGGGGTCTGTGAGATGCTTTTGGGAGGGTATGGCAAAGACAGCTAGAAAAGTCAGCCCATTATTAATAGCTTCTCTTCACAGTGGTCTTCTACCTTCATAAATGTTTAGATGCCTACAGACTGAAGACGGCTGAAAGCTACTGCTTGGAGATCATCTACATCCTCTCAATTGTTTTGTCTCCCCAGCTCTCACATCTTTGACCATTGTGCCATTTGCTTACATTCAGCTTTTTGCTCACTGCTGGAGTTACCAGGCCCATGGACTCTCCCATTCTGCTAGTGCTATGCTACTGTGTCTTTTTCAGGTCTAGGGAGGATTTACTCTCTGTGCAGTATCACTTCATACATTCTTCTTAACCTTGCACCCTAATCTGCAGATTCAAGTCCAGTCTGCATTAATACTGGCTGGAAGTCGTGGTTGCTATCTGTTCACAGTTAGCGTTACTGTTTTGAGTGGTACCCATCTATCTTCCAGTAGATAGGTGTTGTCTTCACTAGCGCCTACCCTTCCTGTTGGCATTGGTTGGCCCTTGGGCTGGAAGTTGTGGAAGCAGTGGCTCATATAGAAGCCTGTCTTATGCTCTCACCCTCAGAAGTGGTTCCTGCCAGTGAGGGTTGACATGAGCTTGGAAGGTGGCCTAGGGAGGCAGTCACTCCTGCTGTATGTGCTACACAAAGACAATTTCATTCTCCAAGGCTGTCAGGCTGCCACCCTGTTGTGAAATCTAAAATAACAAACACACAAAATGTGAGGTGCATGGGTAAGGAGGACTCACTGCTGCCATATATGAGCAGGAGTATGTCACTAAGATCCTTCTGGGGATACGGTACTCTATGTACACTAATAAATCAGGCTGTAAATCGTGGGTTGGCAGTGATGTCCCTGTTGCCTGAGAAAATCTTATTTGTTTTTCAAATTTGCCTCATGCTTAAGCCACAGACCAGCTTGCTCTGTGCCATGTATTAAGTCAACTGAAAAGCTAGTGGTGATAGTGAACTATTGGAATATATCTGTTAGGATCGCCAGAGCTGACTTACAAAAGAGAATTTCGGTTTCCTTTCCCACTGAATGATGCAGAAGGCTTTGGTGGGAGGCTGAATTGTTAAGGAAGCTGTTTCTGGCCAGAGCACATGGTAAGGGGGCATCCTTGTTGAAGTCTGGGTATGGAATCTGATTTGGGCATGGTGTTTGTCAGTCCACAGTGACTCGTTTAAACTGATTAGAATAGAAATTATTATAGTCAATAAAATAGTGTTGATTTCACTATAGCTTCCACAAATAGGAATGTTTTATGTAAAAAGTGTATTATATTGCATTCCTTGTACACATACAAGTACTTTCATGCATATTAAGCACTAGATCAAGGTTTGGGGACTTTAGTAATATTCTCATGTCAGGTCAGTGCCATCAGCATATTTTAATTCAACTCTGGGTAGATTTCAGTTCTGTTCTGACAAGTTGACTTTGGAGATGTTCAGACTAAGGCCACTTGCATTTTGTGTTTTTGTATTTACTGTCAGTCTATAATCACTTAGTGAAAGCAGGACTGTGTCACAGCATTTGCTCTGAAGACTTGTAATACTTCCCAGGAGTATTGAACCGGTAAGGTTATTACAGTGAACTGTCTGGACCAAGGGCTTTTCTTGCTACCTGTGATTACGATTATGATATAGAGCAGATAAGCAATATTCAAGCTGCCAGAAGTCTTGCTTTTCATGCTTTCTTGGACTTCTGCTTTGTGGCCTCAGAGAGGCTGTGACTTGAGACATGGAGCAAAGCATTTTACATACGGCAGTTTGTAATTCTGTAACCCAGTAGTGGGGAGCTAAGTAAGCTGGCCTGAATAGCTTGCCCCCTATGCCCCCTAAGAGATGCACAAAATGGATATATATGTCACAAAGCAGAAAGTCATGACACCTACTAGAATGCGTAGACACCTTCTGCATTTATTGTTTTTCACTGTATACTCCTTGTAACATCAGCAGGCTGAGAATGAGACAACTTAAACCTCAATCTATCATTTCAGTGACTGTGAATTGGACTCTTTCTCTACATTTTCTAATCGTAATACCTGCAGATGTTCTCTGAACTATGAGAGCCGCTCTATGCAGCGGTCTCATTTTGGAGGTAGCTATGGATGTTAATGGGAGCTCAGGCATCTGAGATCAGAATTTCACAAGGGTTGCAGCTAGAGAGAAGCAAAACCTTGTTCTAATTACAGGCTTGGGAGACCCCTTACAAGTACCTGCTCAGCTGACGTTTTGTCCAAAAGGTATTGGAAATATTTGGAAATTAAGTCACATGCGTTGTAGTTTTCAAAAGGTGACAACTTGTCATTTCACTGTATTGCTAATGGTTAGATATGCTGTTATGGAAAATTCTCCTATTTTATTTC